TATATATATAGTATATATATGAGACAATCAAAAATTAATTTTTCTAATATCAAATAAAATTACTCAATAATGTAAAATCCAAAATACATTATTGAGTAATTTTATTTGATATTAGAAAAAATAATTTTTGATAGTCAAAATTTTATGTTTTAAATTATTATTATTTTTTATATTAATGAAATGATCTAAAAAATATATGAAAACTAAAATGTTAATTTTTATTTTGTTAATGATTATTTTTACTACATTAGAACTTCTAGATATATATATTATATGTTGTTACAAAGTTTAGCCAATTTGCAAATTAGCTGGCTACTTTTAGTTATGGTCAAGTCATATGACTAAAGCCCAAAATAAAATATATAAGAATTTACAACTACTTTGGGCTTTGGTAGGCAAATTTACAATGCATCCAGCAATCAATGGCCAGCTCAAGATGTGTCCCAAGAAAAGTGGCCAAAGTTAGAAGTTTTGAGGAACTGGATCATGTAGTTACAAGAGATGATCATAGCAGTCCTAACTCATATTATTACCACTGCAAAAATCTCTCTAGTCAAAGTAATAACCATTTCAAAAAGAAAGAAAAAGCTAATCCATGTTCAAATAGCTTTATTTAAGTTGAAAAATTATATGAAAGCAAAAAATGTCTTTCAAGTTGAAAAACACATCAAAGAGAACAGTAGTAACATTGTTTACTGTTGGAAAAATCAAAACAAAGCAAAAAATGTATTTACAGTTGAAAAAACATGAGAGCAATCATTTTTGTAAACAGTTTCAAAATCACACAAAAGAAAAAATGGTTTCATTTGTAGAAAAAACATATTTGCAAAGTTAAGATCTTTTTAAGTATAGCAAAATCAATGCTAAAGCTAAAAAATCAGTAAAAAAATTAAAAACTTTTGAATTACTGTTGAAAAATTACATCATTAAGGAAAGAATCTCTTTAGTTACAATTAAAAAATTACCTCACAGAGAAATATAAGTTTTCTTACTAGGATGAAGGCCTCATTACTTTTACTTGTTTCTGCAGTCTGAACTGTTGTAACACTTTGAGTTACATAATGTATTGACTCATTTACAGTTGTATCAATTTGTTGAACACTTGGTAGCTCAGGAACTCTGAACATCCTCAGCCACCATTTAAAGATTTAGTTGATGACTCTGTTCTTAGTGATATTTCATTACCTGGAATCAATTGCAAAGAAAAATGATTCAGCTCCACAAAACTTCTACCTTTGACCACTTTTTTCTTGGACAATTCTTTAACTGGCCATTGACCGTTGTGCACATTGTGAAGCAGCCAGTCATTTCATAAATTGGCTAGATATTGACCATAACATATACAATAATATATTGTTAATTGTATTGTATATCAGTTGTTAATGTTTTCAATATATTCTATGATGGCTTCAGGACCAATTTGTATGAAAATTAATAAAAATGAAATGAATTTGAAAAGAAGCATTTGAATTGATTATTATGTTTATAATAAAGGAATTATGCAAAAAAAAGATAGCAAATTTACTAAAAGTTCATTTGTGATAAAAGTTATGTTTATATATAATAAAGTTATAAAAAGTATATATTTTTATTATATGAATTTGATTTTACTGCTGTTGCTTCAGTTGTAGATTTTTATGGTTTCTGTGATCTTTATTTGACTGTTTTTTGTTATAAGTTTGTTTTAAATTACTGTGCTTTAGAGACTAACATCACTAATATCAAAGATTTTTAAAAAATTTTTAACAACCCCATAGTAATTTTGTAGAAAACATAAATTATAGCTTAATTAAAATAACATAAATAGCAAAGATGAAGTTTATGCTTATAAGGATAAAATTGCTTTGAAAGGGATTATTATCATTCAAAATGTTATCCAGAATAATAAAAGCTCAAATTTATGTGAATTTGGTTAATGTATCAGTACACTGATTCACTGTAATGCAGTCACTCCCAGCCTAATACGTATAAAAGAATTTTATAAATTTTCATATATACTGGATGTTCAGAAAATAACACACTATAGTACAGTACACTATCTGACAAAATATGAATGCAGCCAGCAAGCATAATATGCAGTGTTCTGTCAGTTGTTATATTATTATGCAAATTTATGCAAAAATTTAACAAAATTTAGGAATAGCAACCTTTGCACCACATACAATGCTGTTTGAACAATAACTATCAAGTTGTTTTAAATTGGGAACATTTTAATGGAAAAAAAATTACATATGTATTTTATGAGGTGTTTGAAATGATGCCTTGTGCTACTTGATAGTATGCAAGGAAACTCATAAATCTTCCTCAGTTATCTAAGATGGTTGGCCATTATCTGTGCAGCAATGTCAATTGTGCATTGACATAAACCTAACATTTTCAACTGCTATTCAATAAATCCAGTCCTTTATGTAACCCAATAAAAGAAATATAATGACATCAAATCAATAGAGCAGGGAGGCTATGGATATGGACCTCCTTGACCAATCCACATTTTTGGAAAAGTGGCATATAACCACTCTCTAACTGGAAGACCCCAGTGGGTGAGAGCTCCATCATGTTGGTAGATTTTCTACCAACATGATGAAGCAAGAGCTATAGCAGTAGTCTAATATGATCTACTAACAGGTTAAAATACTTTTGGGTGTTAAGGATGCTGCCAAGAAAAAATGGTCAAGTAATTATTTGGTTAACACTCTGCTGATATTAAGTGGACTTCACTCACAAGTGATGCAGATTTTCCTGAGTCCAGTAGCACACATTAGTGGAGTTCACCTCACCACAAACAAAAGGATGTTTCATCCATTAAGCAAATTCACCTGGGAAATGTAGGGTCCATGTTGCCAAGATCCATAAACATTTCTGGAAAGTTTATCTTTGCCTTGTAGTCATTATGAAGAAGCTAGTGATGAATTGGGACTTGTAAAAATGATAACAGAACTTCTTGAGAATTATATGCAGAAAGGTTGACCCAATTTATGCCTCCAGAGTCACACAGCAAATGGACATAGGTTAACTGTGAATATGGCTATGATGTCATAGCTGCATTGTCCATTGTACAACCCCTGGGCCTCCCAGGTCTAGGCATATCAT